CCTATTTGGCTTAAAAGTGTCCAAAAGATAAAACGAACTCTATCTACAGAAAGGGATTTCAAAAAGTATGTGGAAACATTACATTATCTTTTAGTTCCATTTTCCACACACTGGCTTCCAAGGTGCATTCTGGTTGTACCTCCAACACAGATCTATTTGTTCTTTTGACAGTCCATGGCATTTTCAATATTCTCCTCCAACACCGTAACTCAAATGCATCCGTTCTTCTATGGTTTTCCTTGTTCACTATCCAGGTTTCACATGCATATGAGGTTATCAAAAGTACCATGGCTTGGGTCTGGCACACCTAAGTTCTCAAACTGACATCTTTGCTCGTCAACATTTTAAAGAGGTTTTGTGCATCAGATTTGTGTAACGCACAGCCACCATAGTATACCATATAGTACAACTCCTAAGGTCACAGATGGTTGAACAGGACTACATAGATTATTTGAGTAATATGATTTTCTAAATGTGCTTTTTTAAGTATTAATCTAAGAGAAGTTCACAAACTATATATAGAATGAAATATGTATTAAGATACAGTTTATAATGCTAATTTTCATGGTTGAACTACCTATGTGTGAACTTAAATCTTAAAATGTTAAAAGATTACCCACAAGTGTTTTTCTGGTTCAGTTGTGTGTAATTTTCTTTTCATATTTATTAATATTGGTTACATTTGAAGTGCACTGCAGCTATTGACACAATGTAAAGTTACCAGTAATACAATTTGTAAATGTAAAAAGAAAATCACAGATGCATTCCATGTCTGTGAAATACAGCACTTAAACATAACGTAATCCATAATCATATCAGGCGATAGATAGGGAGAAGAATATAGAAATTGGACATTTGATATTTGAACATTGCTTCTGTTGTACTGAAGACAATAATTTATTAAATGAATATTATACTAGGAATAAAATGCATTACAAATGTTAAAAAAACAACAAAAACCCTAAATTATAAATAATAGTGGTTTATCTAATTAAGATAGTTATTTTTCTCCCACACAAAACTTCAAATACCATTTTCTGAAAGGCCAAATTTTAGACAAAATTATGAGGGAACTTCAGAAAGGTCATGGAAAAATAACATAGATAATGGAATTTATCCACGTCCCATTCCTGATAAAAAACATTCAACAAAATAGGAATAGAAAGGAAATTTCTCAACATGATTAAGGGCGTATATACCAGGAGTAGTCCTGGTGTGATGCTACAGGATAAGCACTGGATTGCTAGCAGCAAAGTAGGCAGTTCAAACCCTTGGAAACCCTATGTTGTTAGGTGCCATTGAGTTGGCACTAGCTCAGAGCCACTCTATGCGCATCAAAACAAAACCCTGCAGGGTCATTATGAGTCAGAACTACCGTGATGGCACTTCACAGCATCATACCAGGAGAAAGATGAGGTTTTCTATGTTTGCAAAGATATACAGCTTCAGATCCCTATACAGGGTCACTATGAGTTGAAACACTCATTAGCACTGAACAACAACATATAAAACAAACAGCCAACATCATATTCAATGGAGAGAAACTGAAACCATTCCCTTTGCAACCAGAAACCACACAAAGATGCCCTTTATCACCACTCCTATTCAATACTGAAGGAGCATTGGTAGTGAGGTGGCTCTATAGGATCAGCACTGGATTATGAACCCCAAGGAGTCCTGGTGTGGCACTGTGAGTTACGGTGCTGGACTGCAAAGTTGGTTTGAACCACAAGATTCAAGCACACCAGTTGCTCCTCAGAAACCCTATACAGGGTTGCTATGGGTCGTAACAAACTCGATGGCACTTAACAATGTTCATAACATGAACCCCAAGGTTGATAGTTTGAACCCACTAGTCACTCTGTGGGAAAAATATAGGGCTTTCTGTTTCTGCAAAGATTTACAGCCCCAGAAATCCTACACAGGGTTGCTAAGAGGTTGAACAAACTCTACGGCACTTAACAATGGAGTGTAGACACATGCTAATATGGTTGATGGCGAAGACAGCTGAAAACTAAGGAAAGAAACTGTCTTCTTTTTGGTTTCTCCCCCATTTATTTTTTCATTAGGACACAGCACTGGGAACTTTTTACAAAAGAGAGGGGAAAAAAAAAAGATAATGGAATTTTCCCATGAATTTTTTGAAGTCCTCTCATATAGCACTATATAGTAGCTGGAATTTGGCAAAATATCACCTTGTCTTATTAGACTGGAAATGGTATTAATCAATTTAAATAAATAAATGATTATTCTTTTAAAACTTTTTAAGTTCTAGAATATTTTTCACATGAACCCTAGTCCAGTTTATTATATACATTTCTGTTTTCAAGGATAATAAATACATTTCTAATATGAGGGGGCTTTCAAAAAGTTTGTAGATAAATGGAATAGAAAGATAATGGATTTTCCCCACAACCTTTATGAAGCCTGCTCGTATATACTTTGTGGAAAATGTTAAGACAGAGCATACCTGTGTATTTTGATAAAGACTTTATGGTACTTTCATATAAAATAGTCTCATTTTAGATCAAAGGTTAACGAGCACTGGACATGCTGATTTCTATCAGCAGAGTTTTAAACAAGCATATTTAAATATGTACATAAATATATAGTCACGCACCACATAATGTCTGTTCAGGCAATGTCCGACTGCATATATGTCTGTGGTTCCATACGGTTGTAACAGAGTTCAGAAATCTTGAAAAGAGAATAGACTATAGCAAAGGTGACAGCTTCTTGTGTGCAACACATAGATCATATGTGCTGTGTATACAAGGAGATTGTACTTCCAGGTATATAATGGTACAGTACCTATATAACATCTTGATAGTAAATACCAGTGTTATTCACTTATGTGTGCACTGTATTGTAATTTTTAGCTAAAAATGTTTACGATACAACAGTGTAAGTTTTAACTCATAGGCAGTAGCATCCAGTCTCACGTATCATGTGGCTCTTGAGTGTTTGTTGTAGTATTATCTCTCTGTTTAATTTTCTTTAGAAAATATTCCTGTGGCATGAATCATGGCTCACAAACACAGTAAAAGCAGTGTTAGTGACAGCAGCAGCAAGAGACAAAGGAACAGCATCAATCTGGAAGTGAACAGCATGAAGGTGTAAAATCAGTGTATGGTACAGCTCACAATTTAGGCATCTCACACTTGACAGTCATGACAATCCTCAAAAGCAAAGAAAAAATGCTCCAATCTGTTAAAGGACTGGCACCACTGAAAGCTACAAGGCTATCAAAAATGTGAGAAGGACCTATATCAAATATGGAGAATCCACTAATGAAGTGGACAGAGGACTAAACCCAAAAGCAAATCCCTCTCAGCATATTGTTGATCACTGCTAAGTGACTAAGCTCGTTCAAGATGCTTAAAGAAGAGTAGGACCACACTACAGTATGGTGTTTGCACAATGTCCAAACTGCTATTTCACAGAACATACCATGGATGTTAAGAAATGCAGGACTGTACTGATAAAACTTTTACACAGTAAAGGTAACAAAATTGGAGATTATTTTATATTTCCCTAAGTATTTTGAAAATATAAGTAGTACAATATACAAAATGGAATTTCAAAAAGCTAACATGATTACAATGCGCATTATTAGTAACAACAGGCAAAACAGCAGGGAAAGAAAACCAATGAGTAACTTCATACTATAAAAATAAAACAAGGCACTTTCAATAACTAAATGCAAAGCTCAAATACACATAAAACATTTTCATAAAGCTGACTCACAGACTCTAGGACACATTTGTAACATGTGAAAGATTAAAGGCACTACATAATTCTTTCTCCTAACTCCACTTAATAAAGGAATTCACCAATTAAACTTGGCACAAAAGAGTTTAATTATCATAAAGTGCATCACATGGCTAGAAATATTAAAAATAAAATCAGCCACAAAACATTATAGCAACATTTTTACATAAACAAAAAGGCAATGGCAGAGGAGTCAACCTAGCTAAGAACTCTGTAGCATATATGGCTTTGTGATTTCTTTTCTTCTTGAATAACTACCTATTTGCTTAGAATCAATAATGTATATTCAAGAGAATGCCTTGATTAGAAAGCGAGGTAGTGTTCTGAAAAAGGCAAACTCACAGATTCTATATGTGAAGATTTAAGATTAAGATTATATGGAATATAAACAAGTATAACATATTACAATAATTAGGACATGGTATTACAGTACCTTGATATTAATGAATTAGCTTTTTTAATCAAGGTGATTTTTATCACTTAGCTCTACAGTTACGGCTCTTTTAAATAGTTTTCCTTTGGTACTAGAAAGTCATTTCCTCTTTTTAAAAATAGCATTAACATTCCAAATAAGCAATTTTCATTTGTTGCTGTTGTTGTTAAGTGCCGTTGAGTTGGTTCCGACTCATAGCGACCCCATACAGGTTTCCAAGGGGCAGCTGGGGGGTTTCAACTGCCGACCTTGTGGTTTGCAGTCCAGTGCTGATTTTACAGCACCACATCTTCATTTAGAGATGGTAAACATGCTTATAGTTCAGCCTGTCAGTATCTTTACTATGAAGTTCACTAATTAAAAGTATCAATGAAAACATATCATGTCAGAGATACAAAGAAATACGTACCATTCAGATAGAAACATGCAATTACTTTCTATTTGGCTAGTATAATTGGTGATTTAAATAAATAAAAAAAAAAAAAACCAGAACAAATAAAAACCCAAAACACATATGTTAGTTTGGAGCAAAATAGTGACAAAACACCATCATTATTTATGTACAATATTTGAGAATGTGACCCTTGGTAATAGAATTCTAACTAGATTTTTTTTTTTTACTGGATTAAATACAAAAGCTGGATAAAAGATGATTAAAAGCAGCAGTGAATATATTTCCTTTCTGAATAACTTAATTTTTCCTTTATGTAAACTTTATACATGTGCATTCTTGTTTTTCTATGTAAATATTTCACAGTCCTCTTAAAAAACCAATTGTCCTTGGTTGTAAATGTACTGAAATGTCTATATGGAGGGAGATACTTGAGATGAATTAGTCTTCTTCAGCATGATATGCCACTTCTGCGACTTCTATCTCTGATAGAGGATTTTCTGGTTCACTGTAATTTATGCCCGGCTTATCAGCTCTGCAAAAAAAGAGAAACATGCCTAATGAATGCATTGAAAGGATACGGTTTCATTTCACAATTACTTTTACAAATACTTTATTTTGTTGTTGTTGCTCTTGTTAAGCGCCATCGAGCTGGTTCCGACTCATAATGGCCCTAAGTAGGGTTTCTGAGAAGCACTGGTGAGTTTATGTGAAAAACCCAAATATTTAAATATCCAATCAGAAATTTAACATGTCACACTGTCGAATAACGTCTTTGGACAGAGATTTTAAATTCCCAGATAGCCAAACTCCATTTACCAATAAAATTTTTATTTGTACTTACTCTTATCAACATAAAATGCTTTCATAATTATAGTTTAACCATTACTATTAAAGTAGTAATAACTGCCTTGAATTTAAACGTAATAAAAATTCTACAATCTTTTAAATAGAGCATCTTTTCATCATATCTATTAGATAGCTCTAATAGCATAGTGGTTATGAGTTGAGCTGCTAACCTCAAGGTCAGCAGTTCGAAACTACCAGCTGTCTCATGGAATAAAGATAAGGCTTTCTGTTCCTGTGAAGATTTACAGCCTCGGAAACCATATACAGGGTCGCTATGAGTAGGAACCAACACCACAGCACATAACCACCACCATTAGGTAGGTGGGGAGGTTGCTATGTTCTACTTTATGAATGGAGTCCTGGTGTGGCACTGTCAGTTAGTAAGCTGGACTGCAAGGTTGGTTTGAACCGCAAGGTTGGCAGTTCAAGCCTCTCCTTGGAAACCCTACATAGGGTTGCTATCAGTTGGAACCCACTCAACAGCACTTAACAACTTTATGAATGAAGATTAAAGTAATTTGTCAAGATTATAACCTAGACATCATTTGTCAAGATTATAACCTAGATGTCAAAGACTCTTTTTTTTTTTTTAAGGTTTTTATTGTGAATTGGGTGATAGTTTACATGGGAGACCATCAGCTTTACATTCATCCTATCATATTTCATTTAATTGCAATGATTACAATCCCCTCCATGCTTCATCATTCAACATCATATGCTTCCATTCCCTCTGTGTGTGTGTTTTTTTTTTAATGTACACTGAAGCATTCAGGAATATACAACCATTTAAACACCAAAGGGCACACCCTGCAAGGCTCCCCCACTCCCCCCACCCCCGGCCATCAGCACACAGCCCCTCTCACTCCCTGAGTCCAGAGTTCCCAGCGGCTCCATCCAAGGATTCATTTTTATAAAGACCCTAGAGTATCTATGGTCTTTCCCTGCTTGCTCAGAAGATGTATAATAAAATAAAACTGAGTTCATAAATCATAGAACCATTTCCATGAAATTATTCAAGCTCCTATAATAAATGAAATATTATATACCTAGACTCTTCAGACAAGGTATCTTGATCAGACACAAGTAAAGAGGATTCCACCTTTAGCATCTGCCCACTTTCGATGCCTGATGTGTACACTGATTCTCCAGGTTCTAAAGACAATGTTCTGAAAGTAGATTATAAGAACACAAAATTTTTCTATGAAACATATAAGTTTACTATTGTGAATGTGTGTGGCTTTAGTAGTTTCTGACTTCAATATCTTAATGTAGTAATATAGCTAATAAATTGCTGAGAAGGAGAGTTGGAAGAGAAATTAGTGCTTATGACTACTTCAAAATAACTCTAGCATGAATTCAATATGCTGATAAGAAGGCAAACTAGAGCTTTCATAGATGAAAAATCAGCATACGTTTCCAGAAACAAAGATATCATTTAAATAGGTTAAAATGAGTAATGATATTTTGTTGACTAGCTCAAGGTTGATTTTTCTGGATATTTCTCATCTTTTTTTCAAATGCAGAGCCTCTTAAATAAATAATCAAAAGAGAGTTTTGACTGAGACCACAACTTTCAGAAGCAGAAATTTCCTAAATCACATTAACACAAAGGGCATTTAACACAAAATAATTCAATTTATAAGCTGAATTAACCATATGACTATCCCAAGGATCACAACATACCTAATTCTGTTTTCTATAGTATCTATATGAAGTTGTTTCTCATTGAGCTGTTTCTTCAATGTTTCTACTTCTTTTTGTTTTTCAAGTAGTTCTTTCTGTAAGCGATAGTTTGTTTCTTCTAGAGTTTCACAGAAAGCCTAAACAAAACAAAACAGAAAAACAGACCAAACACATGCAGAAAAAGGGTAAAGTTAATTACTTATCGCAGTATCTTTCTCAAGAGCATTACTGAAGAGTTAAAGGACACGGATAATCAAAGTAATATGTACACAATCCAGTGATTTATTTGTTCTCCTCATCTTTTTGGGTCTCTGCTATCTCGGTTCTTTTTCTTTATATCCCATCCACCAGGGAGATTTTTCTTGAGAATTATAACAGTAAGCCTGTGTGTCTCAGTGGATATTTCATATCTCTCCTGTGTTGAACCACTGAAAAAAATAATATTCACTGCTATAGTGTATTTTCTCCCAGTCCTACATGATTAGACTTTTTAAAAACGGTGGCTACTGATTCCATTTGTATGCCCTCAAGAGATAGATATACTTGTGTAACAACAACTTCCTTGGTAGCATTTCAATATTGTTTTCTCCCCGCTTCACTTTTCACTATGTTTACTCAAAATCTAACGGTTCACATTCTCTGCTTCTATATACCTAGGATGCTAAGTACTGATGAAATAAAAATGAAAACAAAGAAACAAATAAACTCATGCTACCATGAAGAATGATGCCATGAAAACATTTTGGTCACTTGGAGAGGCTTTCAAATTAGTGGATCATTCTTTTTCATTGCTCCTATACTTCTTGTCTTCTCTGTGACTAGTTTAAAACCTCCCCTCTAATTTTCTACACTACTGTCAATGTTGCTGCTCCAGAGCCCAGCAGATGATCCAGCTTCCTACATCAGAAAAAATAACAATCAGACTCTCTGAAGCCTAACTACATTTCCAGCTATGCTTGTCCTGGGTTTTCTTATCCACAAGGCTTATCCATTCACTTGGTTCAAGTTAAAGAAGAGCTTGGGAGCTTGCTCCATCATGTGCACTCCCAAACTTGCATTTTTTCCACTCTTCTGGCTTCATCCCTGTGGCTTATTAACTAAACCCTAAAAACCTCATCAATATAAAAACAAAATCACTTCCACCACTCTCTTGACCAGTAACTCTTTCTAGCTAATACCTCATATCTCTTTTCTTTCACTATAAAACTATAAGTTTTTATCACCCAAATTTAACACCAATTCATTACTCAAACCTTTAAATAGTTTAGGCTCATTTTATCTATAGGTTATGGCTAGGCCAAAAGTTAACAATTACTGTCTAGTTGCCAAATCTGAAGTACTTCTTTAAGTTAGCATCTCCTTGACTTCTCTATAGCATGTCATAAGTAGTTTGTGTTGTTAAGTGCTGTTGAGATGATTCTGACTCAGAGAGACCCTGTACAGGGTTCTTAGGAGTGGCTGGTGAGTTTGAACTGCCGAACTTGTAGTTCAAACTGATCTTGTGGTCCATTGCTTATCCTACAGTGCCACATGATATTTATTTATTTATATATGTATATTTCAAATTATTATCACTGTGTAAAAAATGCAATTCTTTAATTGTCCTCTGCAAAACTTCCTGGTTCCTTTCCAACTTTAAGGAGCCCTGATGGCACTGTGGGCTGCTAACTGCAAGGTTGCGGGAGACATGAGGCTCCCATACAAATTTACAGTCTCAGAAAACCCATATAGGGTTGCTATGAGTTGTATTTGACTTGATGGCAGTGGGTTGGTGTTGAGCTCCTAACTTTGACCGTTAATTCTTAGCCTTGTACCTATTCTTTGTGTGTGGGCATTCATCAGAATTTAATCCCTGATTATCTTCTCTTTTTCTATACACCATTTGAACAATTACACTCATTCTTATCCCTTCAGCTATATGTAATTTATTCTGAGTGCTACCAACTTCCAATTTTCTTATTTATTTTGGTTAATCTGCCCAAAATGTTTATGATTAACACAGGTATCACTCAAATGCCTATGTCCTCTTCAACTAGATGTTATCAATAACAAGTCAAATAGAAAATGCCCTCAAAGGAACATCTGCTCTACCACCTAATCACCCAATCACCTTAGTCATTCATTTTTCTCATTTTTACAGTCCAAGGGTAATCATGTCTTTTCTCTTTTCTGTTCCCTTTTGCCACAACTATCTCATCAACATCTCCTGTGTTTTTATCATTTACTTTCTATCCCCATTGCTGGAGTCCTGGCGTGGCTCTGTAGAATAAGCCCTGTACTGCTAACCACAAGGTTGGCAGTTCAAACTCACTAACCACTCCTCAGAAACCCTATAAAGGGTCACTATGACTTGTAACCTACTCAACGACACTTATCAACAACAGTAATCCCCACTGCTACTCTCTTTAGTTTTTTATCTACAGCACCAATAAACTATCTAGCCTACCTATGTCCACTGTGACAATCTTTCAATCTATTCTCCATAGAACTGGATTTCTTGAAAATAGATTTGATCATGTTACCTTTGATTCAACACTGCCTTCATGGTAGGATCAAATCTCTTTCTTACCTTAGCAAAAAGTAGCTTATGATGTGGCAAGTGCCTTTTATTCCAACTTCACAACTTGCCTATTGTCTTTTCCATCCTCTATTCCTCCACATATCCATGTTTCAACCAAACTTCACTACTCTCAGGTTCTCAAATATTTTAATATACATGGGAATATATAACACACATTCTCTGGCTTCCTCTCTCATCTAACCACATAAGATTGTTGTTCCTAGGTGCCAACCCATAGCGACCCTAATAAGAGAGACATTACATAAACGTTTCCACATTTAGAAATCTCAGTACCATCACATTATGAAAAAAAAAAAAAAGAGCAATTTTTAACATCACTCAAGTAAAATCTCAAAGCACAGAGAAAAAGAAAACAAACCAACAACAAATGATTTCCATTACTAAAAATATAGTAGATAAGATAAATAAAATCTTAGTTATAAAACACTCAGCTTTTTAAAGAGTTACATCGACAAGAAAAAAAAGGTAAATTCTCAGCAAACAAAATGAAGAGAAGATCAGACAACTGTCAAAGTACATGTACTGACACTAGAGGTGAGAAAGTGGGGAAGAAGGGACAATAGGACGATACTCGTTTTGGTCACTTTAGAGCTTGGGTTGGAACAACAGGAAGGGGAAAGGGAAAAGGATTCAGACACACTTGGGGGGTTAAATGACCAGAAATGTAACATTCAGTAAAAAACCAAGGACCTCAACAAATTAAACTATTAATAAAGGCCACTTTTCAACACAGGAATTCAAGAAAGATTGCTTGTCCTATCACGGCCTCTAGGTGGGTGAGATAAAGTATTCCCTGAAGGATCTATAATCATCGGCCAATGTCTCATGTGAATTTTGAATCTGAATTTATCCCGTTACACTTGGCCAGAAACACTCAAACTGAGAACCTAACATTAAAAATAGTCTATTGTTACTATTGTTGCTGTCAAGTGCCATTGAGTTGGGTCCGACTCATAGCATCCTGGGTAAGGTTTTCCAAGGAGTGGATGGTGAGTTGGAACCGCCGACCTTGTTGTTCTAACCAGCGTTGTGGTTCAGTGCTTATCCTGTCCGTTCCAATTGATAGTGACACAGTACAGGGTTTCCAAGGCCGTAAATCTTTATGGAAGCAGAAAGCCTCGTCATTCTCCCAAGGAGTGGCTGGTGGATTCAAACTGCCGAGCTGTCGCTGGTGGTTTAGTTTTTATCCTACAGCACCACAAGCACCACTCTCAGAAATAACGTCTAAGACCAATGATAGTCAAGGTATTCCTTCAGAAGAAACAACTAACTTCTACTGAGTGATATACCCAATAACTTATATAACTTCTATGGATTGATTTATGCTCAAACTATGCTACACTAGATCCCTGATCAGCGAATTTATAGTCCAAAGTTAGAATGCACACTGGCAATAATCTAACATGAAAGACAGTGAACATACCCACAAACAGACTCTAGATCATGGAACTACTAGAAGAAACCATACACATGGGCATTTATAATGACATGAAAATATACTTAAACATTTCTATTAAAAATAAATTATTCTCATAAACTTTCTGAAGCGCCCTCATAGTTCTCCTGTGATGTTGCAGGATAAGCACTGGACTGATAACTGCGAGGTCGGAAATTCAAACCCACCAGTTGCTCCTTGGAAACCCTATACAGGATTTATGAGTTATGAGTCAGAACTGACTTGAGAGCACTTAACATAACATAGATGAGAAAGTTACAGATGTTAAAGTGATTAAAAGACCAAGACCCAACCCTTACACAACCCTTTGTTTACAAGATACACCTTAGATGGGAAGACACAAACAAAATGAAAATAAAAGACATGGAAAAAGATCTACTCTGCAAACAGTCACCATAAGAGAGATGAAGTAGCTATATTAATATCAAACATAGTACACTTTAAGAAGAGTACAACTACTGAAGACAAAAGAAGTCACTTCATAATGGTAAAAGATTCAATAAATTTAACCTTATAAGAAACTATATCATTAGGAGAACATATCAACTATGAATGGACATATCTGTTGTTAAGTGCTGTCGAGTTGGTTCTGACCCATAGTGACCCTGCATAGGGTTTCTGAGGAGTGGCTGGTGAGTTTGAATTACAGACTTTGTAATTCAAACTAACCTTGTGGTTGAGTGCTTATCCTACAGCACCATACCAGGACATATATGTAAGCCATACCAAGTGTACATGTATGCACCTAAAAACTAAAAAAACAAAACAAAATATGTGAAGTAAAAATTAACAGAATGAAAAGAAGCAGACAATTCAACAACTATAGTCAGATATTTCAGCACTTATATCTAAATAATAGATGTAGAGAAAATTAGCAAGGATATAGTCTTAAGCAACACCAAAGAATTAAGAAAAATGTATAGCTAACATTACATTTAAAGATTAAAGACCAAATGCTTCCCATATAGGATTGAGAAGAAAGCAAGAAAGTTTGCTTCTGCCACTTCTATTTATTATTATTGTACAGAAGGTTCTTGGCAGCCTAATAAAGAGGTGGGTAGGTAAGATAAAGAGAGAAAGAAAAGATATTAATGGTACCC